GCGGTGGCGGCGCCGAGCGGGGAGAACGAGGCCGAGAGCCGGCAGGGCCCCGACTCGGAGCGCGGCGGCGAGGCGTCCCGGCTCAACCTGTTGGACACTTGCGCCGTGTGCCACCAGAACATCCAGAGCCGCGCACCCAAGCTGCTGCCCTGTCTGCACTCCTTCTGCCAGCGCTGCCTGCCCGCGCCGCACCGCTACCTCATGCTGCCGGCGCCCATGCTCGGCGCGGCCGACTCCGCGCCGCCGCTGTTGGCTCCCGGCTCGCCGGTCGGTGGCTCCTCGCCCTTCGCCGCGCAAGGTGAGCGGGGCCGGAGCCGCGAGGGGACCCACGCCTGTGTTTCCGCCGCCGCCCGGGGCTTGCGCGGGGGAGGGGCGGGAGGCTCCGAGTCGCGGCCGAGTCGCCAGCGGGGACAGGGACGGGGACATGGAGGGGTACCTGCGCCGCGCCAGGCAACTTCACGCGCCCGCGGACTCCGCTGCGGTCCGCTGCCTGCGCTCTGCCCCGTCCAAATCCGGACGACCCTCCCGTCCGTGCCCGCGGTGCTCCTTTGGGCTGAGCTGGGGAAGGAGCCGCGGAGATGAGCGATGGAGACTTTGCTTCATGATTGATTGCAGATTGGACGCCGTCTGTTTCCTATCGCGTGTTTTGGGGGCTTTGCCTTAATGAGTTTCCAGTCCTCTTCTCCCCCTCTGCTGGGGACAAAGGAATTGAGAGACGGTGATTTTTGTTGTTGTTGTTTGTTTGCTTCTTTTTAAGGCTTTTAATTTGAGACGATAAAGGGTTGAAAGAAATAGAACAAAGTGATTCGCAAGTGCTTGTATTCCCTGCTTGCTTGTATTTTGTAGGCAGCGGTTGAAAGTTAACAGTGCTCTTTTGTGTTGTTACTGGATAATGAGACTTTTTGACAGGTTGTTCTCATTGGTAACGTTAACAAGTTTGAAACATTAAAAGTTAGTTAAAGTCAGCATAGCAATTGTGTCTAGGAGAACGCTTGAGTTTTTAAAAATGTTTAATGCATATATTTGAGCACGTCCTTTTAAGAAATAGAAAGTGGAAACTCGTTAATTTTTAATATATACTTTTTAGAGAGAATGAATTAAGTGGGTAGTACACTAAATAATTATATTAGGTCATAGCATGTATAAAGTTGATATTTTAAATAGATTGTGGCCTTAGAGGCATCTATTTAACTATATTTTAGGAGCAGTCTTCGTTGTGGGAGACGCCTTTCAATAGGCCTCTCATTTGCCAGAGAGATACTGCCTGCTCTTTGTTTCTGTTTTGTCAAGAATGTTGTATGAGGAACAGCTTTGGAAGAAAGGCTTCCACCACAGCAAAGGGCAGGCGCCTATACTGTCCAGTATAATAAAGATTATGTCTCCCTCTGGAGCCAAAGCGTAGACATGCTTATTGCCCACCATAAAAACATTAGGATTCCCCAAGCTCAGGATTCCTCTGTGTAACACTGCCTGCACAGCCGTGAGCAGCTTTTTTTACTTTGTCCTGTGGGCCCTGGGAAGCAGTGCAGTACTCTTGATGCTTTGGCTTATGTTATTGCTTTAAGTGGCAAACTTCTCGTTTCGTTTCTCTGTACCCTCCCCCCTTTTTTTTTTGAGACAGGGTCTCACTATGTAGTCCAGTCTGGACTTGAACTCGGAGTTACAGGCATGCCACCCAGTTCATAGTCTCACTGTCTGTTACCATTCCTGAAACTGGTAGGCTACTTTGTTAGCTTGCAAGTAGGGTAAAATCTCAGACCTTTTGCATTAGCTTGCTGTTTAGTGACCCACCTGTTGGAAAATTAGTACAAAAGTGAAACTTAAACCTTCTTTTACACGTGTGTAGTGTTGGGGATTAAAGCCAGGGTTTACAACCAAGCAATGCTCTACCACTGAACTGCACCCCCAGCCTAAACCTTAGTTCTTAAATTGGGGGGGGGGTGGAAATTAAACTCCAGGCGAGGCACCCAATAAGCACACACTCCAGCCCCAGTCGTTTGAGCTGCAGCCTCAGCCGTTTAAAAAAAAAATTTCCCAGCCCTTTTAATTTTTTGTTTTGAGACAGATTAGCAGCTAAATTGTCTAGGCCTCCAAAGCAGCTGGGATTACAGGCTTGTACCACTACTTACTGCGAGAAGTTATTAATTCCTAAATACATTTTAAGGTTGTGTGTGTGTATGTGTGTGTGTTTTTACACAAGTGTCCCCTTGGTGTCTGCTGTGGTTTGATCCCAAGATCTCCACAGTTAGCAAAATCTGGATGCTTAAAGTCTTATAGAATGACCTAATATCTGTATTTGTATAAAACCTATGCACTGCATGCCTGTAGACCTAGGCAGGATAATCCCTGCTAGTTTGAGGCCAGCCTGAACTACATAGTGAGATCTCATTCATTCATTCATTCATTCATAAATACTATGCACAACCTCCCTTAAACTTTAAGTCATGCTCTCTAATCTCAGCATGTGAGAGGTTGAGGCAGGAGGATTAGCACAAGTTTAAGGCCAGCCAGGACTACGTAGTTAAAGGCCAGGCTGAACTACAAAGTGAGACACTGTCTCGACAACAGCCAGAGAGAGGTAAATGCTATTAAATAGTTTAATTGTTGAAGGAATAATAAAAAAGTCTGCATGTTCAGCACAAGTAATAATTTCCGCCCTCAATATTTTCCACCTGCAATCGGTTCAATCTATAGAAGCCCATTCCACAGGGCCCACTATATATCTATATCAATATAGATATATATATATTTTGGTACCAGGGATCGAACTCAGGACCTTGAGCTTGTGAGCCAGGCATGATGCCACTGAGCTAAATCCTCGGCCCCCCACTATTAATATTATAAATCAGACTGGTGACCTATTAAGATTTTAATTTTGTGTAATTCTAGAAATAAGATTATGTACCTAACCATGACATTTGGATCTGAATGAACAGAAACATGGATCGATCATAAAAGCTCTGAGATGAGTTTGTGATAAGGAAATAATGTGCAACAAGGCAGGCCTTTGCCTTTTCCGCCCCCTCCCTCCATGTTTTTGCCATAAAATGTTCTGTTCAAGAAATGTAGCAAGGACAAGGTCCTGAGTTCGAGCCCGTGTACCCCCCCAAAAAAGAAGAAAACTATAACTAGTTGTGCTGTACTATGTTCCTGTCCAATGTATCAAAGTGTTCTGTTCATACAATGTAACTACCTGCTGCCCATGTTTCTACCTAAAGTTTCAAGAATGTACTGTTAACTCTGGCCATCCACTTCAATGAGCATGCTCACCTGGTAGGTGTGCTCATCCCCCTACCCCATAGATCTCTATATAAGGTTGCTATGATTTTGGGCTTAGAATTCAGAGTGCTAAAACTCTTGTAAGCCAGCCAGTTTAATAAAGCTCAGTTTTTCTCCACCTCTTCGAGTGACTTTCCCTGGAGCTGTAACACAGAGCTGTAACACTTGGCTGTAACCCTGAGCTGTCTCACTTTCTCACAACATTTGGAGTTCCAAACTTTTGTGTAATTGCAGTCTCTGAATTTGTGTGTGTGTGTGTGTGTGTGTGTGTGTGTGTGTGTGTGTTGTCTTAAAATCAAGAATTAAAGGCCGGTCGTGGTGGCGCACACCTGTAGTCCCAGCACTTGGATTGCTGTGGACTACATAATGAGTTCAAGGACTCCCTAAACTACATAGGGATACTCTGTCTCAAAAACAACAACAAAAAGCCCCCAAAGAATTAAAGGAAATTTAAATTAGAAGGTAGTCTTTTTATTTTCATATCAAGAAAGAGAAAGGCTTTCAGAAATTACACTTAAGCACTTGGGAGGCTGAGGCAAGACAGTCACCATGAGTTTAGACCAGCCTGAGCTACACTGCAAGACTTGTCACATACACAAAAAAAAACCAAAAAAAAAACCCTTAAAAATGCACCTCTACCAAAAGTTTGGGGTTATTTTTATTTTTTTAACCTTTGGGGGTTTTTTTTGGTACTAGGAATCGAACTCAGGACCTTGTGCTTGCAAGGCAGGCGCAGTGCCACTGAGCTAAATCCCTGGCCCTATTTGGTATTTTGAGCCAGGGTCTCACTATATAGTCCCCACTGTCCTTGAACTCCTGGTGATACTTCTGCCTTAGCCTCCCAAGTGCTGGGATCACAGGTGTGTGCCACCACACCCAGCTGGAGGTATTTTTAATAAATTAAAAACTATCCTGAGTCTTGTCTTGATTTGACTATTTTCTCCCTTCATCTCTTGCGTACTTATTTTGTTGTTGTTTTTTTGTTTTTGCAGTACTGGGGATCGAACTAAAGACCTTGCACTTGCCAGGCAGGTGCAGACCCACTGAGCCAAATCCCCAGCTCTCTTGCATACTTATTTTAATACTAGCTGAAGCAGAAGTTTAAACAATACATTTCCTAACTAAATGGTTCACTGATTCACTTGATAGTCGCTGCCA